AAAGCTAAAATGCATGCCAAATAAAAGCTCGGGTCTCAGGAGGTTAAGGTTCATCTACACAAGCTAAACAACACCCTCTCACTTCATTATTTGGCAGGGCACCTAAGTGTACTTTCAATTCAACTCAATTTTATTTATATAGCGCCACATCACAACAACAGTTGTCTCACAGCGTTTTCCAAACAGAGCAGGTCAGACCTACTCTGAAGTTAATTACAGAAACCCAACAATTCCCACCATGAGCAGCACTAGGCGACACAGGGAGGGAAAAACTGTGTCATAAAATTCAATTCAATTTTATTTATATAGCGCCACATCACAACAACAGTTATCTTTCCAAACAGGTCAGACCTACTCTGAAGTTAATTACAGAAACCCGACAATTCCCACCGTGAGCAAGCACTAGGCGACATAGGCAAGGAAAAACTTCCTTTAACTTATTGACTGCCAGCCATTTTCAGAACAGAGTCCCATACTTCCAGAGTTTTTTTTAGCATTTTGACTGATTTTTCAAGAGCCACAGAATAGTTTGTGCTATGACTATGTAAACACCGAACACACCAAAAGAAAAAGTAGACTCTCTTCTTTCATCAGGAAAAAAAATGTGTTTCTACCTTATTCCGTTCTTCCTGGACTTGCGTCTCACCGGCGACATGTTCTCTCATAGAACCGTTCCCTTTTTCTTATTTGCCTACAGTCTATGCTCATCTCCCATCAAAAGTGGCACTGTCCCCTAGAGGCTCAATTTGTTACTACATACTCTGTCTAGAAGCCCATATTTACGGACAAGCTTTAGCAGATCGTCCCCCAGACACTCTCGTTGAAAACATAAAAGACCTCTATAGACGTCTTTGGCAGCCAATGAGTTAATTACAGAAGCCCAACAATTCCCACCATGAGCAAGCACTAGGCGACACAGGCAAGGAAAAACAGTCCACATTTTACTCTCTTATTTGCATGCACTATTTCTCTTGTGGTTTTAATTTTTATGAGGTTTTTATGCACAACTCCTCTGTTTACCCTTGATTTTAAAAAAATTCAATGACCAGGGGACAGACACCGTCTCCATAGGTTTTTCACGAATTAACTCCTGGAATGGAGGAGCAGAGAAGAGGGTTAAACTACAACTCCGCTTCCTCCCCTCAACCCTGGATTGTCAGCCCTACTTCAGCCCTTTTCCAGTTTTCCACCTCAGTTTCTAGAGCTTTTCCTTTTGGGCTCCCATTTTAAAGTCTTTTCCTTCATCCCTCTCCTGGGACACAGTCTTATGATGTCACTGGTGATCCATGGTCTCGGTTATTCCATAACTGGAATCAGAGGGAGACTCTTTTTGCTCAGCTATTGATTCATCCTGAGCATTTCAAGCTCATCACACTGGTTTGGCAGGGACTTTACATTTACATTTCCCATAAACCAGTGGTGGACCGGGCATTTCACCCCTCGGCCTTCAGTAGAGCTCTGTCTGAATCAATTCACCCCTCAGTAACTATTTTATGGTTATAAAAATCATCTTATTATGTAGAAATACAGTATAAAGATCAGGGGTGCACAAGTCACAGAAGAGATCACTGGTCATTTTCATGATTGCTTTTTCTGTCCTATGATGAACTCTGCAATGTCCCCTGCATCTCAAAAGTTAAAAAATAATAAAGAAATAATCGATTTACAGAGATTTCACTCAGGTTTCAATGTTTGTATTTCTAGATTTGTAGATCCAGATTTGGGGAACCCCAAATTTTGGATTTTGTTCAAGTGTAGATTATGTAAAATACTATTTAGATTTACCAAAATAACCAACTTTCTATTTTCTTATGGGTTCAGTTCTCTGACATGCAGTTTTGGGGCTCCAACAGTAGATGGCACTGTGTAAGCAGTTTATTTAGCCAAGATGTTTTCCTCCCCTCAAAGGAAGCTCAGCTTCCCTCGAATAGCCAACTCCCAAAATATCTGGATTCCCTTTTCCTCCAATCATCACCAAACATTCAAAGTTTGGGGATTAATGGAGCTTTTATGGTCGATGCATCAGGCACCAGATTCACCACTGAATGCACAATTATTAACATTATACAAAATAAAGGGACATGTCAGTGTTTGATAAACTTTTTAGGGTCAACAGTATAATGAGAAACACATACTTATAGATCTGTGCAGAACATAATAGTATTTCTATTTATAGTAATTCTGTAAATGTCATAATGTTTTGTGGTCATCGTGTGATATACAAAGTTTACAAGTTTGTGACTGACAAATTTATTCTCCATTTCATGAGTCTGTCCTGAAAAACTCGACAATATTTAAGTACCTTTTTGTCATCAACCATACAACAGAATACTTTTCAAAACTGATCATAAAAATTCTATATTTCTGAATGCCTTCCATTTATTTTTCCAGACTAATTACTTTGACATCATTTTTATTTTCAACTTTCTTGAAATGAACATTTAATAACATATCTCTGTTAAAAAAACAATAGTTATTACAATAATGCATCAATTAGATGATTATGTTTGTGTGTGAAAGAGGTAAAACTGGGATAAAACAGCCACAAAAATGTGACTTTTGCAGACCTGATCCAGTTTCTGAGCCGTTTGTGTGTTTGGATTGTCTCTAAGTCATTACATTTTTCAACAATAAGGTTTTCCTGTAACAGAGATTGTCATTTTCTCCACCAAAGCTTAATCTCTCCAGACATGGGCTCATTCATTTTCTTACATTCTGCTCCGTGTTATTGTCCCAAACGACCCTCTCACAGACTATCCCGTTATGCTAACAGCCAAGAGGCTCTCAGCTCTCCACAACACTTGATTTTCATCTTTTTTTTTTCAAAAGCAACACTTGAGGCTTTTATAAAAAAATAAAAATAATAATAAAATAATAATACAGTAAAATAATAATACAATAAAATATTAATACAATAGAATATTAATAAAATAAAATAATAATAAAATAAAATAATAATAATAATAATAATAATAATAAAATAATAGTAATAGTAATAAAATAATAATTTATAGAATAAAATAAAAATATAATAAAAATAAAATAATAATAATAATAATAATAATAATAATGATAATAATAATAATAATAATAAAAATGTCTCTGGACATCTGAGTGCAGGATTTGGAGACAAAACCTTGTCGATGTTTTCCTAAGCCCCTCCGGAGAATCCAATTGTCTCTTTCCCCTCCTTGTAAAACGGCCCGGTGACCCACTCACATCCCGGAATAACCGCAGAAATCTGATCAGAGACAAGCTGTAAAACGCCTTTGGTCATTTCTACACAAACCAAACCGTGTTTGGAGATTTGGGAGGCTTTTGTTTTCCACTCTGCCTGTTGTTGTAACACATAGGATTGAGCAGCACGGAACGGCCCATAATCTTGGTGGCGGGGGGGATTAATCCGAGGTGCGTATCTTGGTTACAGCTTTGAGTCGAGTGTGTCTGGACAGGATCAAAAGATGGAAAAGGACATCTGCCTGATTATCTTAATCAGGACTGCTGGTTGGTGTCGTGTAATGCATGTAAAGCCGCTCTAATCTTATTGCTATTGTGTCCCTTTTCGCTCCCCTGTGACAAGACGGTGCTCATTTGGACACAGCTGTGCATTTGAGGTCAAGCAGATTTAAGGACTTTATACTTTAGCCCACCGGACAAGGCTGCAATAATAAATAATAATAATAATAAAGATAACCCTAACCCTAACCCACTGTGTGACAAATGCCATATTGCAGAAGCTACGCTTCTCCATTCTTACTCTTTGTGTACAAAATTAACCTCATTTTGGTCTGGCGTATTTAAAACTTTATCAGATATGCTCTGTATAGAGCAGGGGTCACCAACCTTTTTGAAACGGAGGGCTACTTCATGGGTACTGAGTCACACGAAGGGCTACCAGTTTGATACACTCTTCTGAAATAATACATTTGCTCAATATGCTTTTAGCTATACTTTATTAATAATCATTAACGATACTCATATGTGACAACAGTGACAACAAAATGGGAAACATATCAATATCCACCACTTTATCTCTATTTATCTCAGCAAAGAACAGATTGGCATTGCATGCTGTTCAGCAGTGCATTGTAATCTGGTGTAACTTGACACTGCAACTGTGAGTGCATATTTCAGATGGGCTTTTTCGCGGTGGGTAGTTAGCATGCTAGCTTTTGTGGCACGAAGTGAAGTGTCTCTCCACATTGTGCCGCTTTGCCGTCGCCACAGTTGCCCCGCCAATCAGACACAACCGGGTTACAGTTATAAAAAATAACTCCTCATCCCATTCGTTGTGAAAGTGATACGTTTTTTTCCCGTTTTTCTCCCATGTTTTTGGGGTAAGAAACTGCATTCTGCACCCATCTCCGCTGCGCCCGCTAGCTTACTCTCCACTGACACTGGTTTTGTTTTGTCACGTGCACAATACTGACCTTTGAACTAGAGAAAACTTAAACTTAATATATAATTAACGTATTTTTAAGAAATTGTCATTTTAAATCAAATCTTTATGAATGCAAGTGTGATTAAACAAGAATAGCAACGGAACAAAATTAAATTTTAGACGCAGCTCACTATTGAGTTGTGCTATTTTTAGAACAGGCCCGTGTTGGTGACCCCTGATATAGAGTTAAGGCTGGACCCACTTCTGATCGTACTCGGAGTTTCTGTTCAGCTTTCTCAATTTAATAAATACCGACGACAATTATTATCTTATGCCTTTATCATAGGAAAAAAGCTAGTGTTGATGTTCTGGAAAAAACCAGAGTTTCCATCGGTTAATATGTGGCTGGAGGAACTGGTAAGGCTCTCTCATTTGGAAAAAGTATGGTTCTCATTAGCAAATAACTTAAAGCAATTCAACAGAACTTGGCAACCCTTTCAGCAACATATTAATAACCCTATTTGAGGATGATTTGTTTTGGTTATTGGTGTGATCTGATGTAAGTCCCGGGAAAAGGGACTTACTTATTTATGTCACTTTTGTTTTGTTTTAATTTGGTATTGTCTTTATGTTGTATGTTCACATAAAAAAAAGAGAACAAACATATATTGTTGAGGTTGTAATTCTCATGTTTGATTTCTCAATAAAACAGTTTGACAACAAAAAAAGATAAAGAGGCACAAAAAGTGGCATGTAGGGCAGCATCTTAGCAAAAAATGACTGTTTTTCTCAAGTGGATATTCCAATAAAAAAAATTCCTCTATTGTTTTTATGCTTTTAGCTTCAGGTGTTAGCTTAATTCTGCCTGAGACTCATTTAGTTCATGATGGAGTCGCTTAAAATTGAAAGCTAAGATAAAGTTTTCTCAGCATTTGCAGCTGGAACAGTCAACATTCAGAACCCAGTGATCCAGAATTAAAGTATACTGATATTATGCTGGTTTTAAAGATAAATGAGGCATTTGTTATGATGAGGTCAAGCTGCTCACGTAAAAAAAAGGTTGAAAATAATAATTATCTTTTATTTATTTATATTATTATTATTTGTTTTTATCATTATTTATTTGTATTAATATTTATTTTTATTAATATTTAATATTATTTATTATCTATTTTTATTAATAAATATTATTCATATTATATATTATTATATAATAATATATAATAATTTTCATGTTGAAAAAAGGAAACGGTAAACTTACAAAGGGGTTAAGCTGTTTTTTGATAAATTCCTGATTGGGTTAGATAGTTTTTTTGTCTTAATAGTTTTTTTTTTATAGAAAAGTGGATGTGGGTCTTTGAGCTTCTGGCTGAATCTTTTGTAAAGGGGATCATAACAGGATTTAAGTTTTTTCCTCTTGTAGACAGACATGGAAATGTATTTATGTTGATGTCCAGAATATTTCTGTCTATTCTGACTTCTACAATTCATTAATTAGATGAAAGACCAAAACCCAGAACTTATTTTCCTACATGTGGCTCTCCTCTCTGCACACATCTTTAAATACAGTACATAGAAACCGGCATTTAAAGAACAAATACTACATGTACCAATTTTATATAAGAAGTTTGCTTTAAAGAGGGTTCTGGGTTCTAGTCCCCGGGGGAACCAGGACCAGAGGGTTCTGGGTTGGAGTCCCGGGGGAACCAGGACCAGAGGGTTCTGGGTTGGAGTCCCGGGGGAACCAGGACCAGAGGGTTCTGGGTTGGAGTCCCGGGGGAACCAGGACCTTTCTGGGTGGTTCTGCATGTTCTCCTGTGTCTGTGGGTTCTCTCCGGGTTCTCCGGCTTCCTCCCACCCTCCAAAAACCTGCATGTTAGGTTGTTGGACTCCAAACTGCCCTTAGTGTGAGTGTGAGTGGTTGTTGGTCCTTGTGTGTCTCTGTGTGTCCCTGTGATGGACTGGGGACCGTCCAGGGGGACCCCGCCTCTCCCCATTGGCTACTGGGATAGGCTCCGCCCCCCCGACCATATTGGGGAATAAGAGGTTACCATAACCCAGTGCTTCTCAGTTATTTTCTGTTACGCCCCCCCTAGCAAGAAGAAAACTCTTCGCGCCCCCCCACTCCCCACCGTCACTATACATCTCTACATGATATTTTATCCTTATTAACATTAAAGAAAAGAAAAAAAGAAAGACATATGGTCGAACTTACAAAGAATAACTTTTTTAAATCGTGTTTTAAGTCTGGAACAGAAAAGATTTTAAGTGCATCAATGCCTGAAATAAAAAATAAAGAAATCCTTGTTTAAACTGTAAACATGTTTGACCAACTAATTGCACCATTGCAAAATTAAATCAAATCAATAAATAATATTTAATAATTATAATAACTAATAAACTACAAAAACAACTAAAATAATAACTAATTCATATTCAGTTAAGCAACATTAGCTAATATATAAAACTCTTAGCTTTCGGGTGACTTTCTTTTGTCTCGTTATCTTTGTCTCTCTGCTTTTCTTTTCATCTGTTAAAAACTTGTCCATATTTGGGGTTTTTATGTTAAATAACGGAGGCTACAGACAGAACGCAGATGCTAACCGAGGCTAACCTGTTGAAAGTGAGCAAGTGTGAATTCTGAATGTTTTTCTTTGAGATTGACTGGAGAAGATTCATATCAGTTCAGATCATTTTCTAGAGGATTTTTGTTCCTCCTCTTGTTTTTTTAATCTCAGCGTTCATCCCTTTATTGTACGCTGATAATCTCAATCCCATCGTCGGTCAAATGGCATCATGTTTTATCTTGTCTTTTAAAAAATAACAGCGTTTCAGAACATCTTTTTTTTTTTCAGATTACCATGTTTTTCTAAAAATCCGGGCTGAATCCCCAGAAAACAGACGTCTCTGGTCAGGCAGATTTATTCCGATTTTATTGGATTGCTCTTCTTTTTTCTTCAATGTTTCCACTGTTTGAATTTGGGTTGCTTATAACACTATTCGTCTAAAGGTATTTATGCTTAAAACAATCACGATACGTCTTTGTGACTGTACTAAATGAATGAAGTTTTATTATTCAAATATTTCTATTGGGTTTTGCACTTATAAAACAATGAACAAGTCCCTAAACAGCAACCCCAACATAAACAATCATAAAGTGACAATAACACACAGAAGACAAAAAAAATGTGTGTATATATATATATATATATATATATATATATATATATATATATATATTTAAATAAATAATAAAAACCTGACAAATTACAGAGTTACAGAGCCTGTGAATCAATGATGTCCCAGTATTTCCAGCAGGGAATTGTAAGTTCAAATAATAAATAAAAATAAATGGCTAATAAATGGCTAATGAATAATAAAATGGCTGCCAGACTTTATAAACATAAAAGACTCTAAAACTTGGCATATAAGTACAACCGTACTAAATGAATTTGAAGACAAAATATGTGTAATTAAAATTAAATCCCTCCACTAAAATGCTTTTGTTGGTCTGCAGAGTGTGTTTCCAGACGGCTCACTTTTACATCGACGACGTCCCGTCAGCCGGAGAAACACCAACCTCTGGTAACACACACACACACACACACACACACA